TTTTGTTTTTAAGAATTTTTTTTATGTTGTACATTAAACAAAAGAAGAAAAAGAAGCAAGCACTTTAACAACAAGTTTAACTAACCAATAATGTTTTTAAGTTTTTTTTAATTTAAATTAATTACAATTTATTTTCATTGACTTGAAATTATCGAAATAAAATTTTAAGTGCAAAAAGCTTCTCCTATTATTACTTCATTTCATGGAGTGTGAACGTAGTAGTAGTAGAAGTAGCTGTGGTTTGTCGGTGCCAACATTTGAGCGCCTAATTGTATGCTTTGATTTGATGTAAAACTAATAATGAATTTTTAATTAAAAATGGTTGCTTGTTGCTTAAAAGTGCCTGCTACTTTGTTTTTTTCGCTCTCTCCCTCCCTCTCACATTCTCTGTCACGCTCCCCCTTTTTCATTTACTCATCAGCCAACATTTGTCCTGCAAAATGTTAAAAACATATCCGTCACCCGATTTTCTTTGTGTGTTGAAAAACTATTGTTATGTTCCCACTATTGTCAGTTTGTTTATGTTTACATGCTACTTAATATAAAATACGTGTTCCTGTTAACCCATTAAACTTTTCTTTGTTTTTTTAATAAATCCTTTTTATTAATTAAAAATTATATTGCATTTTTATACGATATTTTTATTATTATTATTGTCATACAGATGACAATTAAATACTATTTAGATAATAAGTTTAATTGTTTAAATGTAATATTTAAACATTTTGTTGTAATACTTGCCGAAAAGAAAAACATTCCATCACCAGCTCACCTGTCAATCTCGAGTCAAATAACATTCCATTTTGTTATAATTTATAATAATTATAGGCTATATAAACGTATTCATAATATATATGTTATTAATTATATTATTGTATTACATTTTATTATAAACAAAAAAAATATTTTCACATCATTAAAAAGTAAAACACACGAATATATTTGTTAAATAAAAACTGGAAAAAATGGAAATTTTTTATTTATACCTCCAAACACCCACATTATATACCTCATTTCACACAATTATACATAGAATGTACATATAAATATGGTTGGGGATTTTGGGTTGAATAGATATCACCCACCACTGCATTGTAAACGCGGATGATGGATGCACCATGGTATCATTGGAACGCCACACCTTGATTTTTAATACTGTGTACATATGTATGTATGGGTATTCATTGTTATTGAAATAATGGCATTGGTTAGTTTTTAACATAAAACTATGATAAAACATCAGGATGGAATGCAGCATCAGTGTGAACACTTTTGGTTTATTTAAGAGGAAAAATACTTGTAGAGAATGTTGACCAAATTCACAAAGGAAACGTATTAAAAATTTATAATAAAACAAATAATACTGATTAAAAAATTTAACAATTTATGATTGTTTACACCATCAAAAGTTATAAATGACAGTCAGCTGATACACTTTAAAAATTGTATCTTGTACTACTACTATTAAAAAGTAAATGTAAAAAAATACATTACGTCGGCTCTACAATATATAACATTGTATTTAAATCTCGCTAGAATTTATTTGTACATATTCATTGTACTGGATTTAGTAAATCCGATGTATTCAAATTGTCAATTCCATGAATAAATTTCAAATAAATTCCCATATAAGAGGTTAATCCTGCAAAAAAGTTCTAATATGAATGCCAATTTAAAATTATTTTTCAATTTAGGTTATAAAGATTAATATTTAGTGTGTGAAAGCAACTCCTCCAGCTTTATAAATAATTTTGAATTCTAGCCTTTATTTTATCATTGAAATATTATAACTGACAGTCACATGATATGAATATTATCCAGGTGATTTGTACCAATATATTTTATCAAATAAACCTAGGATATATAATAAAACAATTGCATTTAAAACAGCTGTTTGAATTTCACAATTATAATTCGTTTACATTTCACCGGATTTCGTTAACACAGTGGGTTTAAATTGTCAAATCCATTCTATTTATGATAAATAAATCATCATGAAGTAGGTTAGGTAGTTCTAATGTAAATGTCGTTTTATACAAGAGTTTATTATTTAATTTCGGGATTTACCAAATGAACATAAAGGAAAAATATGTTAAAATTTGCCAGATATAAAATTTGACGAATTAGTTTCAATTGAATTTATTTCAAACTCTTTTTATTAAAATAAGTCGGAAGAATAGTACATTTACATTGTACCGGATTTCGTTAACCCAGTGGTTTTAAATTGTCATTTCCATTGTATATATGTCAAATAAATGCTCATAAAGTAAGTTAACCCAGTTAAAAGTTCTAATGTAAATGCGGTTTCAATAATAATATAACACCTATTCTGTACGAAAAACTGTACTAAGTTAAAATATACTATTTTTTACAAAGGTTTTCATGCACAACAAATGAAATTCTGAATGGCGTATTTCTATTAAAAATTATTTGATTTAAAATATTTGTCATACATCAGATTTTTACCATTAGTTTTCTCCAAAAATATTTGTTGACTGTTATGATTTGTTTGCAGTTTTATTCATTCTTGCAAGGATAATCTTGGATAGTATAAATTAAGTTTTGAAATGTTATAATTTATTCAAACACTACATAAACAACCATCAGCTGTCTGTCATTTATATCATATCAAAACACGTCATTCAGTGTAAAAAACACTTCATTCAAAATAGTGTAAAACATTATATTAGTGCCTAAATTTTGGATATTAAGCAGATACGATAGGTAGTTTACTTATAAGCGAAGGATTCGACAATCTAAATGATTTGCTTTATTAAACCAAGTTTCATGTAAATATAGCATAAATTATAGAATTTTATTCCCCGTGATAAAATTAGGTTTAAAATATTGAGTTCTGCCATTGACCAGTGCAATGCAATTTATAAGGCAATCTAGGAAGATCAGCTGTTTCTCAAGTTTGCCTTCAAAAATCCATTTTTGTGAATTGACTTCACATAGCGAAAATATAAGTATGGTTACACAATTAGCAAAAACATCTAATTTTTCTTAAGTTTGAAGTCAAATATTAGAACGTTCGTTATGTTTTTATAATGGAAATCAATTCGGAATAATGCATTTTGACAGCAAACATAAGAAGCAGCTGTTTAGCAGACGATCTTTCTGGGTGAACTTATTAATACACCTTGAACGTAAATAACATTCACATTTTTGCCATTAACCGGAGGCTTTTTAATAAGGTGATCCAAGGATGCCAGCTGGATATCAGCTGCTTCTCAATTTATTGTTCAAAATCGATTATTGTGAATTGACTTCCATTAACCTTAAGAAAAAACTCATCTATTTTTCTCTTCCTGAGTGACTTTATTAATAGAACTTGAGAAATAACAGTTTGTTATCTGTGGTTATCCAGGGAGACCCGCTCGATATCAGCTGTTTCTCAAGTTTGCTGTCAAAATCCATTATTGTGAATTGGCTTCCATTATGAAAAAGTAACCAACATGGCCTACAAATAAGGTCACCCAGGGAGACCAGCTGGATATCTGCGCCACTCAAGTTTGCTGTCAAAATGCATTATTGTGAATTGACTTACATTTTGAAAACGTAAACACAGTCGACATTTTTGACATTAGAGTTGAGAAAAAACAGCTGTTTTCCTATTTCGATTGCTACTTGGATGGCCTTATTTATAGATCTTGGTAACCAAAGTCCAAATTTTTGACATTGGACTTCAGAAAAAACAGCTGACTTTCGCTACCTGGTTATTAGATTATTATTAGATCTTGATGAAAATGTAAACAAAGTCCAAGTTTTTGACATTAGACTTGAGAAAAAACAGCTGACTTTGGCATGCTGGGTCAATTTGTTAATAGATCTTGTCTGTGGCCTTATTCATAGTCCTTGGATCAGTGTATCAATCGTTTAATAATACTTTATAAAATATTTAAATTTTGTTCCGAAAAAATCCTCCCTGTTCTAAAAAGTAAAAACCTAATTTATAAATATAAAAATTGGTAAAATTATAACAATTCTCCCATGTAACATCTCTTTATGAATAAGTTAGACAATAAACATCCTCCATACAAATGAGTTATTATAATGGCTGATGTCGCGTAGAAAATCCCCTTCCATCCATCCGACCACCCATCATTTATGTACATATGTAAAATATAGGGCATAGAACTTTACTTACACAAAACAGGCATCATTGGGAACGTTATGACATTGTGTGGTACTGCGATCACACTCTGACATATCACATACAACCCATAGCAATAAAAACCCAGTACGGTACAGCATTTATACATATAACATTACAACAACAGCACAAACAAAAGTTAAATGAATTTGTAACAAGGATGTCAACAGGTATGTATCATCATCGTCGTCGTCATCATCATCAGAAATGACCTCAATAGTACAATTGTATTTGTGATGTATTCTCTTCCATGGATAGTACTACTACTATATATGTCTATATGTACTCGTACATGTGTGTGGTTCTATAAATCATTTTTATATCTATGTATGTATGTAATAACTTCCTTTTTCAATGCCTGCTCAGAATTGGGTTAGATAGGTGGGTTGTTAATTCCCTTTGACTATGGAACCTATACTAATGGAGGAAATGTTAAAGCTTGTAGCAGGATGTTAAACATTTCTGGCTATTTTCCTCTCGTTCTCCTCCGCCTGCTACGTTCTATATGTAATAAATAATGTAATAAATGTAAAATATTTTTGTAAAGTTGATTTTGTAAAACAATTTATTTATTTAAATTTGTATTGTTGTACTAGTAATTGTTGTAGTATGTATTTAGTTTAATAATTTTAAATAATAATTTTTACAAATTTTACCTGGCACTTTAATAGTTTTTTTTTTCTTTAACTCACTAATTTCCAAAACTAACTTTTGTTGTATATTTTTGTGTGGTTTAAGGGTCTCTATGATGCTCAGCTTTTGGTTTTCCAAAAATTTTAAATATTTTTCTTTCCCTTTAAGAGATTTTTGAATAATGTTTTGATTTTTTTCTTCTTGTCTTTAGGTTATCAACATTTATATAAGAGTCCCGATGAAGTGGATGGCATGATACAGCCCTATTATGAGACTTTGAGTCAAAGTCAAAATCAAGCAGCGGCCTCGACATTCCAACGTAATTCACCGCTTTATTGGACTTTGCAAAATCGCCGGCCGGTTAAACCGCAGGCTCCAGCCAATGCTCTGAGTCGTGATGATTTATATGCCACGCCTCTAAAGCGTTCCGAAAGATTGGCCCTGGCTCAACAGCAGCAGCAGCAACGTCAGCAAGCCCAACAAGCAGCAGCAGCGGCCGCTGAGGCCCCAAGTTCAGCAAATCTTCCAGCATCGCCCAGTGCTGTACGTCAACGCACCAACACCAATTTCCACACCTCAACGCCCATACGTAATTCAGATTCTGAACTGCCAGCTGATAATATACCAGCCAAACAACGCCTCCGGAATTGGGATGACAACTCGCCAGAGCGTTTGAATACCTGTGCCGATCGCATTGGCCAAAGTAAAACCAGTCTAATGGATTTCAAGCGCCTACTCTTGGCCAAATCGGCCAAGAGCAGTACTCTACCCAAGAAAATGTCCGCTGTGGAATTGCTAAAGAAAAACAATCTTACCAATCAACAAAATTCCCAACTATCAGCTCCACTCAAATCCTCCTCCTCCAGCACTGGCTCTAATCCCATTAGCATTACTGGGGGTGGTAGCGGCACACTCTCCCAATTAAATTCTTCCATGAAACTTTTAGACTTAAGTGGTTCTCCCAAAACATTTGCCAATCGTCGTATGTTGCGTCAGGGTCAATTTGGTTCGCCTTCTAAATCGTTTGCACCCAAATTGAAGACAACACGTTCCAATTCGCTGCAACGTACCGACATTATGTCCACAACCATACCTGAAGCCAACAGTGAAGAAGACCATCATCATCACCATCATTCGGCAAATAGTTCATTGAACACTTCGAAAAATTCCGAAGAAGAAAATATGATCGATGATGAAAGTTTCAATATTAAACGTAATATTTTCCTACAAGCCGAGGAGAATAATTTTATGCGCAGTGAATTGAGATCGAGTTTTGGTCGTAATAAATCCGATGCAAAACCACCAATGGTTAGTAAAGTGGAACCGATAATGAAACCCTTAACCGATAGCAGTAATGTGGCTGCTGGTGGTGGTGGTATATCAACTTTAACATCAATGATGGCCAATGTTAATGTTTCAAATCCAGCTATGGATAATATGCGAGTTCCCAGTACTAATACTTCCAATACCCAAATGACAAATACAGCTGCTTCCTTAGCTAATATGCCAGCATTAGAGACTGCTTTATAAGAAGATTTTCAAAGAAAGTGAAAATATAAGCTAAAAATACACAAACACAAAACTTGAAAAGCAATTTAAACTATTATCCCCTTCAATATAAAGGCAAAATGGATTAAGATCGAAGGGATTGCAGAATAATTTTATTTAACTGATTAAAGGGTCTACAAGTACTATTTCTTGGCTATGTGTTATGTAGGAAAGCCACTGCAAATATGTGGCATATTCCATCAGATCCTTTGGCGTTCAATATGGTTTTCGATAACTTCTATGGCCCTAGCTATCATATCATGTGACATTCGGGAATTTTATCGAAATATTTCTATTCTATATAATATATAATCTATATAATATAATAATTAAAAAAATGTTTCCACTTGTACTCTCTTCATTTCTGTATTCCCTTTCTGTGTCATAATCTTTGACGAACTTAATCCACCTTTGCCTATATATTGATAAATAATACATCTGCCAATTATAGAAAGAATACCAGAACCTATGCATTTACTTATATTGGAAATCGAAAGAAAATAATAATTATATCATAACAATTATCAAGCAAAACAATCAAATCATATTGAATTTAGTTATTCATATACTAGATAGTGAGCTTTTTTCCTAAGTTATATATACAACAATTAAAAAATAATAAAAGAAAAAAAAAGAAAATTATACAACAACAAATTAATTGAAAAAAAATTGTAACTTAGCAGTGTTTAGTAAGGCAACTTCAAATTCTTTTGAATAAAAAAAGATAGAACGACATATTCTTTTTAAGATTGCAGGTCACTGAAATTGATGATGTCCTTAAAATCGCGGTTAAGATTTTAGTTTTAATAACTGATTTAAATATTGACAGTTTACCTACTTAATTACGGTATTGCCATTTACCAGAGATATCGATTTCATTCTTTGGTGGTCCTGCATCCTTTACTTATTTTATTGTTTATCAAAACAATTCTGTAAATTTCTTCATAATTTTGTATTAAAAAAACAGCAAACAAACAAACCACATTTGAATTAATTATTATATATTTATATAACAAATTAGTTTCCTTTTTTTAAGAATAGAAAACTAGCAGCTATTTATTGAAAATTGTTTAGTCTTAAGTTTTCTTTTCTTTTTCATTATTATTATTAATAAATTTAACTAAGCCTTTCATTTACATATATATGCCTTTGTACAAATCGTTAGGTATTTTATACTTGTGTATTATCAAAATATATTTTTTTTATTTAAAAAAGAAAAACTTTAAAATAATCTTAAATTATTATTACAGATTGGCTATTATCTATAAACACATAATATATAAATATTATAATTTTTAAGAGTTTATTTTCTTTTTTTAATATTAATGAGTTTGCATTTTCTTTTCTTCTTTTTTAATTTGCAATAATGTTAATTTTACTTTTGTAATATCATATAATCTTATTTATTTACAAATGTCCCCCAAGCAAAACAAACAAACCAACCAGCCTGTATTTATATAAGATTTAGTTTTCTTCAATTAATTTTCCATTATCAAACAACAAAAACCCAATATGTTTTATTAAGCAATTTAGTTGATAATAATTATTAACAAAATAAAATCAAGCAAAACAAACAAACAAACAATCGAGAAGCAAATAAACGAATTAAAACAAGTTACAAATAAAATAAAAAAGAATAAAATGAAATTGTGTTTTTATTTGGTTTAACGAATGGGGGTAAAAAGACAAACAAATAAAATTGTTTTATGTTCGGTCGGGCCTACATTTTTATACTTTCCACCGTGTGCTGGGTATTCAAAATACTTAACATCGATTGAAATGCCAAACTACATACACTCATTTTCGAAAATTGGGTTCTGGCCTTGAACATACCGGAAATAACGCATGGCTTTCAGACAGGGGATATAAAAATATAAAAAAAAGTTCTGAGAAGTAGTTATTTATACACAAAGCTTCCATAATGCGTAATTACTTTAGTCACAAGGCTTCAAATTGCATTTTTTGAAATAAATAAAAACATCTATATAGAGACTATACCAAAAGTTCTACTGATATTTATAATTTTTGGTAGGAAGATCTTCCACTCAAATATTATATTAATACTCAAAATATCAAATTAGAGCCAATTCGGTTGAAATATTTACCCAATATCCTTAAAAATGCCAAAATTGCCTATAGTTCTGCGGAAGTCCACGCAGAACAACTGTTTTTTTATCAAACAGTTGACCATCTGTGGAGAAGTACCAGAATAAGTTGCCCTATAGAAACCCATCATCGGATTTAAATTAGGTTTAGTAAAATATTAGAAAGTGCAAACAATGAAATAAATCGGTTAACGACAGATATATACCCTCAGTTTATGGTTTGCGGAGTTCTAGGGAATTATACACAGATTTTATTATGCGTTGTATAGAAGGTATATGATTTTATCAAAGAGTTGACCATGACCATTACGATGTATAAAGTTTCGATGAAATTGGATATTCCATATTAGATTTATATGTTTTCAAACTGTTAACCTTTTATGAAGAAGAAACAAAAAGGAATCCGTCGTATATTCCAACAATACACAGACTTGGTAAAAATATTACGTTGTGCAAAGTTTCAAAATCGTATTTTTTTATTTTACCATTTTGGTGGGGGGATATTCGAACTTGAACTAAGTTTAGAAGAAATATTGCGATGTGTAAAGTTTGGATGAAATCTGTTACTCCCTTTAAGATTTATCGTGCCTACAAGCCGGCCAGACAGAAAGACGGACGGACATTTGTAAATCGACTCAAAATTGTGTGGAACGGATTTGATCCAAAGACACAATAGTTCCGTTCCAGAACCTAAAAGAATCTACTCATTTTACATGTTTTCCAACTTTTTACTCGAAAACCGTTCCTCAACCCACAAAACTGGTAAAACATTGACTCAAATTTAAGAGAGCACAAAACAAAATGGCGTTCTCTTTGAAAACTTTTTACTCGAGAAATTTGGTCGAGTAAAAATGGTAAACAGGAATGCCTACTTCTGATTGGCCGTTATGTTGATTTTGAAGTATTGCCATCTAATTTTGGCATATTTACTAGATTTGCGTTCCCGAACTTTTCAAATTATTTTGTACTCTGAGAGCAATTTTAAAATGTTTCCCTTTTACTAGATTTACTATTAAAAAAGTACTGGAACAGACCAAATATTTCGATGAAGCACATTTTTTTGCGGTAGCAAAGTGTATATACCCTCATTAGCCATAACGCTTAGGGTATACAAAAATGACGATTAAGAACAGGATACGTCATTCTATGCAAAAACAAAGATAGTGTCTGCCAAGGTGTATTTAATAAGGTGTAAGTGACAATCATATGGTTTCAAACTTTTTTCTTTATTGTTTGTAAAGCAAATTGTCAAAAACATTTTCAATATTACATTTCGATTTCAAAAATGGTCTTTAAATTTAGGCTTTTTAATAATAAAAATTCAAGAAAACTACATTCATAGAGGCGGACGGAAAGGAAAGCTAGGCTTAAGGGGACCCCCCCATTCTCGGTGTCAAAATTTTTTTTGATTTAATTCGAATCTACTCTAATTCTAGAATGTTCCTACAAAATTTCAAGTGAAAATCTCAAGAACTCTTGAAGATATAGCCGATTTATTGTGCAGCATCAAGTGACGGCTAAAGGGCTTCTCAAACTTTAAACGCGTTTTTCTCAAAACGAATGGCGGGCACGATAACTCAAAAACTAATAATCCAATCGGTTTCAAATTTTGACACGTTTCTCTGGGAGTGTGTAGCTCTCGTATGAACTAGGATAAAGCCAATCGGTGAAGATCTTCCTTATTTTTTAACTTAATTTGTGGTAAAAAATAGGCGATTTTTCATAAAAAAATTTTTAAAGTTCCGCCATTTTGTTAATTGTTGTGCGAAGTCAATAATCCTAGTTCATACGAGAGCCAGACATGTCCTCTTTCTAACACAGTTGGAATTTTCGGATTCCGATGTTCCAGTGAGGAGTTATCATGCCCGCCATCGAAAATATGGACTTTTCTTTGAACCCCAAAAACAACAACAAAACAACAACAACAAATTTTGGTAAATTATTTTTCTTCCTTTTTAAATCTTCAAATATATATGTGCCAAGTTACAAACCTTAACAAGCATTGGTATTCATTTACCAGCCCATTTAAAATCTTAAAAATAAAAAATCGAGAATGGGGGGGGGGGTTCCCTTAAATCAGTTATAACCCCGTTCGCCGATTGGTCCACATATTTTATGTTGTGTGGAAATCTGTCCATAAATCCCAGCTACTCATAAAATTGAGGAGATTATGTTAGCCCATATTGGAATCGGCCCCTTGGTGTTTGTCACAATCCTCGGCGAAGGTCAAATACGCCTATGGAAAGATTTTACAGTAGACCACGGATATAAGAACATCCGAAAAAAACGAGAAATTTGTTCTTTTAAGCGGGTTTTTCTTATATAAATGCATTTTATATAATAAACTTCTTTCTTATATGGGTGAAACATGTTCTTATGTCGTTTTTCTTATGTCCGGTTAGCACAATTTCCATGATTTAGTCTTTGGCCGGGGATTGAAATTGAAGGACATACAATTTTCTTTAAGAAGGCAAAATTTGAAGCCACTCCATAGAAAAAATAGATTGTAATTCACAATATAAGCCACATCACAAGGAGCCATGGGCTGCATGTGGGAAACTTAAAATTAATCGCGACCAGGTCTTTTTCATTCACCTAAAACCGCCAATAACCAATTCATTGATTATTCCTCTGTTACGACTCCCTGTTAGGCGGCGCTAGAGGGGACCTTCCGGCTAGTTAGCGGTCTCTGGGCTATGGTCCTCAACCCGTCCACATCTCTAGCCCATCAGGGCGAACACGAAAATGAACTTTAACTATTCAAACAAACAAACACATTATATTCAAAACACAACACCTGCCTTGATAAGAGAGTATAGATGTTTTACTCTCACATTTTGCCCTCCCAACCATGGTTTCCAAACGTTCCAAAAATATCAAT